CCTCAACCCCAAACCCCAAACCCCCCTAACTAAAGGCTTGCCTGAAAGGTCATAATGTAGGGGCCTTCATCATGAGAGTAGGGCTCCTTTATAGTCTAATTGTCATGAAGAGCCCGCAAAACAGAAGCCCTGAACACCAAAGCCCCTGCACCCTGAACCCTAAACCCCAAATTCTAAACCCTGCACCCTAAACTCTAAACCCCAAACCCCAAACTCTAAACTCTAAACCCTAGACCCCAAACTCTAAACTCTAAACCCTAAACCCCAAACTCTAAACTCTAAGCCCTAAAGCCTAAACTCTAGACCCTAAGCCCTAAACCTTAAGGCTCCTATAGTAGCCAAAGGTCTTCAAGGCCGGTACTGATGCCTCCTCTTCATCGCAGCTGGGCCTTACAACGAAGCTACGCCCTGTCCAAGAGCAGAGCTCTTCTAGGGTTTAGGGCTTAGGCTTTGGGTTAGGCTTTAGGGTTTAGGGTTTAGGGTTTAGGGTTGGGGGTTTAGGCGTTGAGCCACGGTTTAGGGTTTAGGCTTTGAGCCACGGTTTAGGTGCAGGGTTTAGGCTTTGGGGTTGAGGGTTGAGGCTTTGAGGATCTTACAAGGAGTTCAGAGCTCGGGTTCTACCCTAAACCCTAAAACCCTGAAGAGCTTTGGGTTTAGGGTTTAGGGTTTAGGGGTTAGGGGTTAGGGCTGAGGGCTTAGGGTTTAGGGTTTAGGGTTTAGGGTTCGGGCACCTGACAGAAACTCGCACACTTCCGTTTAAGGATAGGGAAGGCCCCGGGTTCTGAGGAGGGCTGCGGGTGTGCTGCGGCCTTTAGCGTCGTTCAGACCTGCCTTCTCGCCTGAGCTCCATTCATACGGTTGATGATATAAATCCTGCATTGCCCATAATACGGAATATACCGTAATTCCCATAGTTTAGGGTCCTTAGGGTAATGCAGGATTTATATCATCAACAGTAGTATATATCTCGAACTATATACAAAATACGATATTCTGTTATCTTTCAGTCAAAGATTGCAAAAGGGACAAGCCGGAGAAGCAGCCGTGGCCTTTGAGTCCGAAATTCTCTAAGCCCTAGGCCCAAAGTCTCTATTGAAGCTTCCACATCCGAGACTCAGACTGCAACCCCGAGCCTGACAGACCCCAAAACCCTAAGCCCTACTTGGAGGATCAGGGGACCTAGTAAGTAAGGCTAGAAGTACCTGAATTAGAGGTTTATACATATTTTTTAGTATAGATGCCTTGTTTATAATTGTAGTTATACTAAGTCCCATGATCCTTTAAGTACACATCCAGAACCTACCTTTCCCCTGGGTTACTGAGCGGCTTCTAGGATTTGGCGGCTCGGGGATGCAGAGCCTAGGGCTGCCTGTAACCACACCGCCCAAAGACCGAAACCGATACAACACCCACCTTACTTACTAGGGTTGAGGGTTTAGGGTTTAGGGTTTGGAAAAAAGGTATCAACGCAAGGACGACCCGCGAATGATAGCATCCTGGCTCGAAATCCTAAACCCTACGCCTTCAAAGGAACCTAAAGCCTGAACCGGCAGCCCGGAACCCGGAACCTCAAAACCAAAACAACAATGTTCAAATATACTCTATTAATTCTTTGTCATTATACTACTATACTATACTACTACACTGTACTATACCATACTATACTATACTACACTATACTATGGTATACTATACTGTACTATACTATACTATACTATACTATACTATACTATACTATACTGTACTTACTATACTATACTGTACTTACTATACTTACTATACTAACTACTAATACTACACTACACTACACTATATTGTACTATACTATACTTTACTATACTATACTATGCTATACTATACTACACGATACTACACTATACTACACTATACGATATTATCTTGTCTTATCTTGCATTGTATTGTATTGTACTCTTTAAGTTATGTTATATCATGTTATGTTGTATTGTATTATATTGCATTACATTATCATTCCTACCTGAACCCTAACCCCAAACCCTAAACTCGGCCCCCTAGACCCTACTCTAAACCCTAAACCCTAAACCCTAAACCTAACAATCAAATGGTCGCGCTGCTCCGCGGCTGTCGAGGCAGCTGACTTTCCGGCTGCTGCGCTCGAGGAGGTGGCAGGCTCCCGGCCCTTTGAGTTTGGTTTCGGGTTGAAGCTAAACCCTAAACCCTAAACCCTAAACCCTAAACCCTAAACCCTAAACCCTAAACCCTAAACCCTAAACCCTAAACCCAAACCCTAAACCCTGCTGTAAGGGTTCAGATTCCAAGGCTTCGGGCTTGCAGCAGCTTGAAAGTTATCGTTCTCTCTAGTCTAGCTGACCCGCACGGCCGTGCAAAACCTTAACTTCAATATCGGCAACCTCTGAACCCTAAACCCTAAACCCTAAACCCAAATCCTAACCCCTAAACCCACCTTAACTTCAACATCCGCGACCTCTAAACCCTACGCACAAAGCCCGAAGCCCAAGAGCCCTAGAGCCCCACTAAACCCTGCAGCCTCAAGCCCCGCAGCCCTAAACCGAATTCCTAAAACCCCTAAACCCCAAACCACAAACCCTAGACCCTAAACCCTAAACCCCAAACCCTAGACCCTAAACCCCAAACCCTAAACCTAAATCCCCCAAGGTATGGCCGTCGGTCGAAAAGCCTTTAAAAGCCTGGGTTTGAGGTTTAGGTGTTTCGGGGTTCCGGATTTTAGAGGCTCAGGGGTTTAGGGTTTCGGGTTTAGGGTTTAGGGTTTAGGGTTTAGGGTTTAGGGTTTAGGGTTAATGTTGGCCCTCCCTTACAATGCTTTCCGGATTCCAAGAGGCATCCGAACTTAGAGGCCTCGAAGTATTACAATGCCAACCTTTGTTTTTCATGGCTGATACGATGACTCACGTTACTTGGAGGATCATGGGACCTAGTGAGTATGGTTATAAGTACCTTAATTGGGGTTACAAGTAGTTATAAGCATAGTTACCCTAAAAAGAACCTTAGTTACTAGGTCCCATGATCCTTTAAGTAGTCTTGATCAAGCCAAAGCACTAGTTTGGTTGGTACGGCTACCACAGCCATTCTCACTCGTGCTATCGTCACCAGAAGCCCAAGCCCTGTA